TTCTTCGCACATTGTAGGTGCTCAAAAAGATGCATTGAACTGATGAGCTGCTGTGAGGTGGCTTATTCGGGTCTCCTGTAGTCACATAGTCATAGCTTGCACAGGAGGCCAGGTGCTCCTGGTGCAGGTATGGGCCCCTGGGGGAGGTGGGGGGATAAGTGGGAGGAGGTGGCACCCTTTTTGCCTACCAAGAAAGGCTTCCGGGAGCAGATGCATCTTGTCCTAGTTTGGGGGGCTCTGGGCACTTCTGTACTTCTAGCCAACCACGACAGGTTGCCAAGTGGTCCTGTTCTCTGTCTCCCTTCCTCCCTCATCTGTGCTAAGTCCTCCGTTGTTCAAGGCCTGGTGTTCTGCTGCTGACCCCTGTCTCTCGGCTAGATAAAGAGCGTATTTTCAAAAGGATTGTCCTGCCCGGCCGACATTCACCAGCAGGGTCTGTGTCCCCGAGTATACAGCCACCAGCGGAGTGTACAGAGGCAGAGGGCTAATGCGTCCCCTCACCCACCCCACTCTGACCCGGAACGCCCACTCACCCTGCAGAGGTCTCAGAGGTCTCACCCCGGTGGAAGCAATACAAGCTTCCAACCCCTAAGGGATAGAAAGGGACAAATCTGGGCCCAGAGCCAGGACAGAGCTCACGGGACGAGGCAGGGAAGTAACAGCAGCAACTGCGAGGCCAGGGAAGGCAGCTTGGGAAAGACATGAGCTGTGAATCACTTTTCATTTTGAAACACAGGCAGCCCCCCATTGCCCACCTGAAGCAGAGGGAAAGCCGATCACACCCTGCTTATCCCAAAATGAAACAAAGCTCTCAGCTGGTTAAAACTGCTGCAGAAAGCAGCAAGCCCTCTCAGATGGGGTGCGGATTTAGCAAAGAAAAACACAGGAGTCCCAGTTTGAATTGTAGATAAACAAGAAAAAAGTTTTTAGTATAAGTGTGCCCCATGCAATATTTGGGACATGCTTATACGAAAAATCATTGCCTGTTCACCTGAAATTCCGTGCATTCTGTTTGCAGGTGGTGGACCACCCCCAGGGTGACCTGGGAAGGCCACAGAGAGTCTGGAGATAAGGTCGCCTCAGTCAGGGGACCGACTGTTGCCAGTTGTCACCCACCGCAGAGGAGGGAGAGGGGGTGGCAGACCATGAAGCAGGCACAAAGATGTTACTGTCTGAAATACTAAAAATTGGGGAAAAAATAAATGTTTCACATTAGGGAAGTGGTTTAAAATGATGGCATATTTGTATGTTGGAATACCAGGCAGCCACTAGATAGTATGTTTGGCAGGAGATTTCAACAACTTTGAAACAATGTCTCCCCCCCTGTCTCTGAGGAGCCCTGAACTTCCTGGCACTAGGCTCCCAATACACCTCAGAACCACACAGCAGAGTGAGGGGGGCTTCTCCCCCTGCACTGACTCCAGAAGATGGTCCAGGCTTTTAAAGTCAGGCCCTCCAGGTTCAAATCTCAGCTCTATGGCTTCCAAGTGGTTCCGTCTCAGGAAAGTTGCCTTTCTGTGCCTCGCCTGTCTAATGTCTAAATTCAGCCAATACAAGCCGGCCAACCTAGAAGGGTTCTTGTGACAGTCAGGACAAAGCCTGGGACATGGCATTAGCCCTTATTGCTCCCATTCCCCACGAGCAGGGTGAGGCACAGAGCAGTGGGGTAGGCACAGACACACCTTGGAGATACGGCGGTTTTGAATCCAGACCACAGCAATAAAGCACGTCATACAAATGTTTTGGTTTCTCAGTGCATACAAAAGTGATATTTATTTAATACTGTACAGTAGTCTATTAAGTGTGCAACAGCATTATGTCTAAAAAACAATGTACATTGCTTAATTAAAAATGCTTTGTTGCTAAAACTGCTAATGTCCATCTGAGCCTTCAGTGGGTCAAAATCTCTTCGCTGGTGGAAAGTCTTGCCTCGATGCTGGTGGCTGCTGGTAGGTTAGGGTGGTGGCTGCTGAAGGTTGAGATAACTGTGGCAATTTCTTAAAATAAGAGAACAATGAAATTTGCTGCATCAATTGGCTCTTCCTGTCATGAAAGATCTCTCTGTAGCACGCAATGCTGTTTGATAGTATTTTACCCACAGAACTTTTTTCAAAATTGGAGGCAAGCCTCTCAAACTGTGCTGCTGCTTTATCAACTAAGCTTATGGAATATTCTAAATCCTTTGTTGTCATTTCCACAGTTTTCACAGCATCTTCACCAGGAGTAGATTCCATCTCTAGAACCCACTTTCTTTGCTCATCTATAAGAAATAACTCCTCATTCATTCAAGTTTTTTTTTTTTTTTTCTTTTAGAACTCCCCATGGCTGGTAGTCATTCAAGTTTGATCATGAGATTATAGCAATTCAGTCACATTCTCAGGCTCCACTTCTTAGTTCTCTTGCTATTTCCACTGCATCTGCAGTAACTTCCTCCACTGAAGTCTTGGACCCCTCAAAATTATCCAAGAAGGTTGAAATCAACTTCTTTCAATCCTATTAATGTTGATATTTTGATCTACTGCCATGAATCCTTTAATAGCATCTAGAAAGGTGAATCCTTTCCACAGTTTTCAAGTGATTTTGCCCAGATCCATCAGAGGAATCCTCTGTGGCAGCTATAGTCTTATGAAATGTGTTCCTTAATTAAGACTTGAGAGTCAAAATTACTCCTTGATCCATGGGCTGCAGATGAATGCTGTATTAGCAAGAATGAAAACAACATTGATCTCCTTGTATCTCTCCATCAGAGCTCTGGGGTGACCAGGTGTATTGTCAGTGAAAGGAATCTTCATTTTGAAAGGAGTCTTTTTTTCTGAATGGTAGGTCTCAACAGTGGGCTTCAAATAATCAGTAAACCAGGCTGTGAGATGTGCTGTCATCTAGGATTTTTTGTCCCATCTACAGAGCACAGGCAGAGTAGATTTAGCATAATTCTTAAGGGCCCTAGCATTTTTGGAATGGTAAATGAGCATTGGCTTCAACTTAACATCACCAGCTGCATTAGCCCCTGACAAGTGAGTTGGCCTGTCCTTTGAAGTTTTGAAGTAGTCATTGACTTTTCCTTTTTAGCTATCCAAGTACTGGATGTCATCATCTTCTAATATAAGGCTGTTTAATCTACGTTAAAAATCTGTTGTTTAATGTAGCCACATTCGTCAGTGCTCTCAGCTAGATCTTCAATATAATTTGCTCTGGCTTCTACATCAGCACTTGCTGCTTCGCCCTGGATTTTTATGCTATGAAGATGACTTCCTTCCTTAAACCACAAGAACCAATCTCTGCTAGCTTCCAACTTTCCTTCTGTGGGACTTCCTCACTTCTCTCAGCCTTCACAGAGCTGAAGAGAGTTAGAGCTTGTTCTGGATTAGGCTTTGGCTTAATGAAATGTTGTGGCTGGTTTAATCTTCTATCCAGACCACTAAAACTTTCTCCATATCAGCAATAAGGCTATTTCACTTTCTTATTTTCATGTGTTCAGTGGAGTAACACTTTTAATTTTTTTCAAGAACTTTTCCTTTGTATTCACAACTTGGCTCACTGTTAGGCACAAGAGGCCTAGCTTTCAGCATGTCTCATCTTTCAACATGCCTTCCTCACTAAGCTTAATCAGTTCTGGTTTTTTATTTAAAGTGAGAGGTGTGTGACTCTTCCTTTCACTTGAACACATAGAGGCCATTGGAGGGTTATTAGTTGGCCTAATTCCTATAGTGTTGTGTCTCAGGGAATAGGGAGGCCCAGAAAGAGGGAGAGAGACAGGGGAATGGCTGGTTGGGGGAGCAGTCAGAACACACACAACATTTATTAAGTTCACCATCTTATTTGGGTATGGTTCATGGCGCCCCAAAATAATTACAATAGTATCTCAAAGATCAATGATCGCAGATCACTATAACAGACATATAATAATGGAAAAGTTTGAAATATTGTGAGAATTACCAAAATGTGACACAGAGATATGAAATGAGCACATGCTGTTAGAGAAATGGTGCCAATGATGCAGGATTGCCATAAACCTTTAATTTTTGAAAAACACAGTATTTGTGAAGCACAATAGAGCAAAACGCAATAAAATGAGATATGCCCATAGTTTACGGAATGACACAATCTACAGCTTTAGTGAAAGAAAGGCAAATCAAACACAGGACTGCTCGGTCCCTCCTCTGCCCGTTTGGTGAGATTTTGCTTGTCTCTTTCTACTATTATGTGACAAACCCTTACTGGGTTACTTTTCCAGCCCTGATGCAGTGCTGGGGTGGGGCTGAGCCATGGCTCAGCTTTAAATAGCAGAATAGAGAGATTTTCCATACAGTGTGGTGTCAGGTCACCAGCTTGGTTCTCCAGCCTAAGCATCAAACATCACCCACTCCCTACCACCTGCCAGTCCCAGCATCCGAAAGGTGATGATAACTTCAGACTTATTCCACAAAGTCTTGACAGGTGAGATCCCTTGTTGAACCTAGTGCCTTCCAACTGGGGTTAATTGGCAGCTAGCTTGTGCATGGCACTCAGGTAAAGGCGATAGTAAGGGTAGGTAGCAGAAGTGCCCAGAGGCTCCTAGCATAGATGTGTTAGTCTTAGATTTTAAGAAACTGAGCTGTTCTCTGGCCTCTCGAGTAAGCTGCATTTATTTTAAGGACAGCTCTGGGATAAAGGAGGACAGAATGTAGAGGATATGTGCAAACTTCAGTGGACCCCAGAAATATTTTTACAGTCGGGCTCATGGGGATAGGAAAGTGGTCCAGGAATGAAGGCCCCTTAGGAGGGTTCATGGCCTCAGCAGCTGGAGTCCTCTGACACCCTTTGTCTTTACGTTAGCTCCTGAGCGTCTCGTGCGTGTTGCCCCTATGGCTGCCTGTACTTACTCTCTCTCTTTTTTAACCCTTTTTTTTTTTTTTTTTTTGATACAGGGTCTTGCTCTGTTGCCCTGGCTTAGAGTGAAGTGGCCTCATCATAGCTCATCGCAGCATTGAACTCCTAGGCTCAGGCAATCCTCCTGCCTCAGTCTCCTGAGTAGTTGGGACTATAGATGTGCACCACCATGCCTGGGCTTTCTCTCTCTTTCATCTGCCTCCCGGCCTCTGCTCCTTGCAGCCTCTGCTCATGCTCATTCACGGATTCTCAACTCATGGTTGCTGAGCATTGGCTTCCCTCTGATGGAGGTTGAGCTTCTCTTCCCACCATCAAGCTCTCAATTGCCTCTCCCTGTTTCACATTCACATTCCCCAAGGAGTGAGTCTATGGAATAGGCACTGGCCATGCTGTCTATCCACTGTCCAATCAGCTGTGACCATGAGATCACATGACCATGGTTTCAACATGGCAGCCCATGGTGGGAGGAACTCATAGGAAGAGGACCATGGTAGTGGCAGGCACTCCAAGGCTTGTCCTGCTCAAGTCAGGGGGTGAACAAAAAGGGGGTGTGAGTGTGCTGAAGACAAAGTTTCCCAATTTTATAGATTGGGCTCTGGGGGAAGATCTGGTGATAGTGAAATGAGATACTGAGTCCTGTTACAGGACTTTATTTTCAAGAATTAGGCTTTAGGTTCAAGAATCCCGATAGTTCATGTCAGGAACCCCAGAGAGCCAATGGACACAGTTTGAAAAAAATAACACTAGGTTAAATCTGACCCCCTAAACTCATAGCCGGGCAGCTTTTGTCATTTTCCACAAGTCAGACACATGTCTTTGGGAACAGTGGAATGAGCAAGTGGAAGTGATCCCAAGTTACCCAGACACTGCGGCAGCATCTGGTGAAAAAGGGCAGTATTTGCTGCCCCACCCCTCTAGGCATTATTAAATTAAAGATTTACAGGACATGTCATGTATCTCAGGTGTGTGGCTGGAAGACTACCAGATTTCAGAGATGCCTTGATCTTGTTTTGGGTCAATCTTCTGGGTTCTGTAACTTAATAGACTGAGTCATTTTAACAGGTAAACAACACTGGAGGTTTTTGGCCTGGGAGTGGAGGGGGAGTGGAGACAGGGCATACACCAAAGACTTCTAAAATGGAAGAATCCAAAAGAGAGAAGGAAATATTCACCCACTTAACATTTACACTAAAGAAATATTGTTTTCTTCAAAACACTTAGCTTAACTATCACAAGGAAAAAGGTGCTCTTGAGGTAATTCACAAGAAGGAGGCAATGACCGATGTGTTAAAGGTAATAAATACTTATGTAGTAAGTGTCAGGAACTGTTCCAAGTACTTTATCCATATCAAGTCATTTGTCCCCACAACCTTAAGAGGAAGGTACAATTTCGATCCTACTTTACAGGTAAGGAAACTGAGGCAGAGAATGATTAACTCATTTACCCAAAGTCATACAGGTAGCAATTGGCAGAGATGGGCTTCAAATCCTGAGAGTTTAACTACCAGAGTCTAGACTCTGAATTGCAATGATCTAAATGGAAATTTTAAAATACATGGAATTGAAAGAAAATAATAACACAACATATTAAAATTGGTGGGATGCAGCCAGTATTTATTCAGCATGCATTTTGTCTAAATGGCTTTAAGTTCATTATCTCTATGAGGCAGCTTTGCATGAGTCTATCCATGCTCAGAGAGGTTAGGTATTCTGCGCAAGGTCACACAGCTAGGAGACAGAAGAGACATGACAAGAACACGGGTTTAGTTCTAAAACCTGCCTGTCTACTCACTAGTGTTCTTCCTATACACAAGGGACACCTTTCAAGGTGCATTTGCAAATAATGGGAGATAATCCATCTATCCAAGAAATAAACTTTAATGGTGGGAATTCTGGAAATCTTTTAGCTTGGAGAGGGCATCTTCCAAGCATCCCTGAAATTATAGCTCATAATTCGCTGTTTCCTAAGCCTGGTTCTACTAGAAGGCAACAGAACCTGAGCTCTCCTTGGCCAGTTTCCTTTCTCTCTGTTCTCTCAGGCACCCCCTGTGGGAGGAAGGAGGGGCTCTGGGTCAGGAGGGCACGGTTCCCTGGGAGGCAAGTGCCGCACTTAGCAGCATGGACTCCAGCGAGCATCCTTCAGTGCGGGAGGCTTGTCATCTGTCCCCGCAGGGCTCTGTTCTCGCAGGCCTCTGAAGGTGAAATCCACCCTCTTTGGATTTACAGAGCAATTTTTGCTTTGCTTTTTAACCTGGCCCTTTGGTTTGAAAACCCAAGAAGGAGTAGGAATTATTACCATTGAAGTTAAAGGAAACTGGCTTTTAGGACTTGTTTTTTTCTGGTCAAGCTGAAAGAGGGTATCAAAGCTTCCATTCTTCTCCCTGGAAACAGAACCCAGAGAAACGAGCCTTATTACATCATTGTTGATAAAAAGCAAGTGCAAAATACTTGGAAATGTGACCAATTAGAGTAATAGCCTGGATTCTACAGTATAAAGCCAGTGGGTACATCCTTATGAGACGTCAGAAGGTCCAGATGGCGTGGAGAGGACGAGGGGGTGGGAGGCCAGGAATGGATGAAACTGTACACAAAACAAGGTGCAGCAAGTGGAGAGAGCTCGGAGGATGGGGCTTCAGAAGGCTGGTTGGCCTGGGAACGCCAAATGCCAGGTGGCGCCTCTGTTTCCTAATTGGCCCAAATGCGACCAAGTAGACAGACTGGGATAAGTATTAATAGTGTCAACTATATACCAGGTTGAAAAAGGGACTTTGTAGTCAAACAATCCCAAATTTAATCTGTGCGTCTGTTGGTGACCAACGGATGACTTCATCCCTCTGAGTCTCAGCTTCCTCAGGGACAAAGGGTGCTCGTAGCAACTATACCTGACTGTAACAAGCCCAGGGCCTGGGCTCTGACACTCCCCAAGGAAACACACACATACACAAGTCAGAACTCCCCTTGAATGACAGAGCAAGGAGGGACATACACCAGGGTGTCCAGCAAGGCTGTCTTAAAACTCCTCAGAGTTGCATCGCTCAGGGCACCTACCCTCTCTCTCCTGTCCCCACCCTTCCCTCCCCTCTTCCCCAGCACCCTCCAGTCACTCCCCCACCCTCAAAATTATGCTTTTCTTCTGGGCTCTCTGTGCCCTTTGTTCTGTAGGTCAGTGTAACCTGATATTCAGGCCTGTCTATGTCTTCACCCCACCCTGTCTCTATAGCACACCCGTGGGGTGGAGTGGGGGTGATGGTTACATACAATAATAACCCCCTATACACAACCATGCCATACGTTGATGTGATGATTCAAGAAGCCACAGGTGTAAAACTGCTAGCAATAAGCCTAAAATGTGGAGCAAACTCAGTAAATGTTAGTTTCCTTCCCCCTCCCCCAGATGCAAAGATCAAATGTGTCTGAAAGGGTTTGGAAGTGCAGGGCACAGTGGGACCAGATTCTGATGAAAGTGCTGATCTGATGCTGAGATAAGAGGTGGCAAAGAAATAGTCTAACCCAGTTGGATGTGGGGGTCAGTTGTCCTTATAGGGCCAACTCCCAGGGAGAGATGGGTCCTCCCTTCCAGAAAGAATGGCCGTGGAGAGTGGGGAGGGCGCACTAAGGCTCAAGGGGTAAAGAATGGTGACCTCAGAGGGGGTGCGGTGGGACACTGACCTAGGAGGGTCGGCAAGCAGGGACATACCTTCATTTGTGGTTGAAAACAGCCTGGTTGGGGCTACTTGGTCTTTTGTAGGTCTATTAAAAACACACAAATATATATATGACTCATTCCCTCTTTTTCTGGCATTTGCCTAATGAAACAACAGACCAAACCCAGAAGCAATGAGAAAAGGTAGAACTTTCTAGAAGGTCTGGGTTCTTTCATGGAGACCCTCTGGTTTTAGTCAGTCTTCCTGTTAGGGGCTGAACTGTGTCTCCCCAAACTTTACATATTAAAGTTCTAACCCATAGTACCTCAGAATGGGACTGTATTTGGACAATAAGTATTTAAAGAGATAATTAAGGTAAAATGAGGTCACAGGGTGGGGGGGGGGTGGAATCCCTAATCCCGTATGACTGGTGTCCTTGTGAAAAGGGGAAATTTGGACACAGAAAAGCGAATAGAGGAAGAATGTCACGTGAACCTGAGGATGGCCTTCTGTAAGCCAAGGGTAGAGACCTCAGAAGAAACCAGACCTTAGGACACCTTGATCTTGGACTTCCAGCCTCCATAACTGTTGGAAAAATCAAGGTTTGTTGTTTAGGACACCCGGTCTGTGGTAGCTTGGTATGGCAGCCCTAGCCAACCGCTGCAGTTCCGGTTCTCAGCGGGGCGGGGAGGCTGCTGGCTCCAAGGCACATGTCCCAGCGCCCCTTGCAATGTGTGCTCAGTTGTTCTCCTGCCAGTCAACTCCTCCTGCATGCTGGCTCTGCAGTGACACTAATTAAGAACAAGGGACCAGCCAGGTGTGCTCTGGGTACCCTCTGGCCCCGGGGACCTGAAGTCAGCCCAGGAGAGTCGGAGATGGGTGGGCACAGCTTTGGGGAGGGGTGCACCTGCAGTCGGTGTAGCTTCATACCTATCACAAGAGCACCTGTGGGAAATGGGACCCTGGCAGGACATGTCTGGCTGCATTTGGATGGGACCTGCTGTGCTTTGTGGGCCAGAAAGCAGAGAGGCCCCAACTTCACTGAGTTTTTGGGCAGTCGAAGCCTGGAAAGGGGCTCCTTTCCTTGACCCAGCTTGGTAAGCCAAGGTCCACAGAACGCTCGCTGCTCTGGAGGAGGGAGAAGCTCTCAGAGGAAGCAGCTCGCTAGCCAGGAAGAGAAGCTGGGGCCTCCCAGAGGTGTGGGGAAGCTCTACTTCATTGCATTTAAAGCAAGTGAAATCTTATTCCTATTTCTTGCCAGAGTTGGGAGTTAACTAATGAGCACACTTGGTCTCTCTCCCCACACCCTTTGAGAAGCTCAGGATTCCCAAAAAACAAAAGCCAAGAGGGCAAGGTAAAGTCAAGCAGGCTGCCTCCTGAAAAATAGGGGTGACACATGGGGAACAAACTGCAAACACACACCTTAGCAATCACTCCACCACACCCATCACACACAGCTTTGCTTCCTGAACCTAGTCTTAGGCCAAGAAAGCCTCCAGGTCCATCTCAAGCCCAGCAGTCTCGTAGCTAACCTCAAGGCCACTGAACTGCATCTCCCTGAATGCAAGGACCGTGTCTTGCTTGCCATCATAGCTACTACTTATTGACGGCATCCCCTGTTAAGTGATTATATATCAATTATCTTTAACCCTCAGAGCACTGAAGGTAGGTGTTATTATCATCTTTTAGCAGACGGTGACATTGGAGAAACTGAGGCACAGGAAGGAGACTTGCCCAAGACTTCACAGCTGATAGCTGCTGGAAGTGGGATTTGAACCTGGGTCTGTGTGGTTCTAGGCCACTCCTGTTGGGGCCCAGCTGGTGCCTCCGTACATTTCCTCCATCAGGAGGCCGCATAGAGGAGCCATCCTGCTAAAGAAAGGTGGCGAGTGGTTTGGGCGAGTGGTTTGGAGGGAAGAAATGCTTACATAATTTCCAGAAGCCCATCCCCTATGTGGAAGGACATCTCTTCTGATTTCCTGTTCAAGGGAACAGACACATGCTCAAGGCCCAAGGGAGGTCTGAGGCAGCAGCTGTTCTCACAGTGACAGACTGGAGAGTAGCGTGTGAGTGAATTCCGTGGCCACTTCTCTCTTCCTCTGTCCTTTCTGAGATTCTAGAGGCTGGAGCTCTAGAGGCTGGGAAGGGTGTCTGTGCCCCTTCTGGGCAGATCTGTCGTTGCCAGAATCTGTTCTAGAAGAACATCTTCAGACAGTAGCCACCGTTCCAGACCCCAAAGCATTCTCTTTACAGCGCCAGTAGCTCTGGGTGGGTGTAGGGTGGGTTTGTGAACACGCATGTGCACGTGTGTGTCAGCCCCTCTGTCTGTCTCCACCATTAGCCACCTCTGCAATGACCTGGCTATTTATCAGGGACAAGTTCAGGCACAGGAATCTTCAACAAACCTCTGGCTCAGATGGACGCCCGTGTTCCTGCCATGGCGAGAAAGCCCATTGAGTTTGAGGACTTCAGAGCCAGTCATTCTCTTAAGGCGTTCCTTCAACGCAGTTTCCTCTGGCGCTACCCTCTCTGAAGTTGTTATTACTCATTAGGTATTTTGCACATGAAGGAAAAGTAGGTCAAAGATTAAAAAAAAAAGAGAGAGAGAGAAAAAACCATCCCTGGGAGAAGCACAAGTATTGTGTGAAGCTATTTTGAACTTGCATGAGATTTTTACAGGGGAAAATGTTTTGTGTGGGGACAGCCGCTGTCACAGCTGACTTAGGAGCAAATGCCGATCCCTGAGCCTTTCATACATTGGACCCGTGAGTTCAGAATTCCATTTTGAAATGATGATTCTGCCCAGTGGGATGAGCTGCCTCTAAATCCAAGTTCTGTACTCCAGACGGCCCCTTGAGGGTCCTCAGTTGAATGGGAACAAGGAGTCCTGAGAACTGTCTGTAAAAGAACAGAAAGAATGAGAGAAGGATGTGAGTCTAACCTCCAGGTCCCTGGGGCCTATGTGCCCAGGCTTAGGGTGAGGCTGCTGGGCAGACTATGTCCAAGAGGGACTCAGAAAGTCTAGGCTCTAGAAGAAAACATTCCAACTCACTTTGCTGACCCACATCCACTCCATGCTGGAAGCTTTGCTGCTGCCATGAATATATTTAGGGGACTAGAACGTGCAACTGGCTTGAGGTGGGCTGGCTGAATTCAAGGCTCCTGGGAGGAAGGGGCCTCGGGATGGGTGTTAGCAGAAGAGTGAGGCCTGCCCACCAGAGTCTGAGCGTGGAGGGGGGAGCCCCGGCTCCCAGGGCTGCTGGGGCCACTGCTCTTTCCTCCCAGGGGTACCATGCTGGGTTGTCATGACTGTGCCAGGGTTTTCAGGTTTACAGGCATCGCTTCATGCAGCCTGGCTTTTCCTCTCTTTCATCAAGGGAGGAAGGGAAAGAGGAGTGAGAGGCAGAGAGCGAGAGAGCAAGAGGGGGAGAGAGAGAAAGAGACAGACAGACAGAGAGAAAGCCAGACTAGCGTTCAGCTTTGGCAGTGGTTCCTCACCTGGGTTACGCTCCCCCAGAAAGCGCCTGCACTGTCATGCACATCCTTTGCCTGACAACCAGGTGCCCCTCCCAGGACCCTGACTGAACTGAGCAGTCACTGCGCCAGTTTGCTAAGAAAGTAGCGCTGCTGCTCTTTTGGAAACTTCCTATGGAAGGTCTTGTTCCCTATAAAAAGCATTTAACAGTTATGGGTGGGACTGTGATCAAAAAGTAAGCATCAGATAAGACAACAGCATGTGATTAAAAGCCGAGAGGCCCCTTCATTTTTAATCATTTTAAGTAGTGAAAAATGTATAGAATTCTTATAATATTTAGAGCTAAAATGTACCTTAGGGATGATTTAATGTACTCTTTCTGATGAAGACCAAGATCCAGATAAAAACGTGACATATTTATAATAATCCATCTCTTGGTGCCAATTTGAGAATAGAACCTACATCTCCAAATAATCTAAACACCTTCCATTTTACCTCACTTAAAAAATGTCCTTGAGAAGAGTGTTTGCACAGGGCCTGCAGGTTTGTTGCAATGGCGATCTTCTTCCTGTTGCATAAAATAGAATTCTAGTCTATCCGTGTCGACCTAGCTAAAATTAATGTGCTCTCGATAAAACCCACCAACTAAACTTATAGAAACAATTGTTGTTTCTCCTTCTTAGTGTTTACTTAGTGGGCTTTGCAGAGACTGTTTGGATAGCCAACATCTCTTAAAATTGCTGTCCAAAGAAGATTGAATTGATGATTTCTTTTTCTCTCAACGAATGTTCCTATAACAGGCAGTGACCTTTAAAATCGTTCTAGTGATGATGCCTTTCTAAAAGTAGCTGTTGCATTCGTTAAACGTTGGCATTAACTGGTTGGCGAAATGGGAACGTTGACAGTTGTTTGGGGTGGATAAGCCAAGCAGGGAGCAATCCACGGTGGGTGGTGAGCCAATGGCAGAGGGCAAGGGCTGCAGGGACACTGGACACATGAGGGCAGCAGTGAGCAGTCGTGGACTCAGGAGAGCAGAGAGAGACTCTGGAGAGCAGAGTCTGTCAGAGCCTGGGAAGACAATGTAGATGACTCTGGGGCTGGAGAAGCTGCGCTTGTGTGGATTTTAATGCAAATGGCAGCAGCCTCTTCCTGCCCCCTGTCTCCTACAGTTGCATTAGCTCCTCTTCAGTTCTTGCAAAGAGATATCTTTGATTTTCACGCCTCATTCCCACCTCGCTTTCCATGCTGGAAACCTTGCATCCGCTACTAAATGAGGTAGCCTTAACTAGATAGAGCATCTAAATCTTCAAATTGTTTCACTCTGCTTCACTCCAGCAAAATTGCCCTAGCCAATGACCACGGCATTGCCTAATCCAATGGAAACTTAGTGTTAGTGTTCGACTTTTCGACTTTTCAACTGCCTTTTGCATGGCCAGCCACTCTTTCCTGGTGGAATACTCACTCCCAGGACATCTATCATTCTGTCCCTCCTACTCTATTGCCAGCAACTCCTTCACTACACAATGTTTACATGTTGGGGTTCCTCAGGGCTTGAATTTCCATTGCTTAGTAATGTAGTAGTCATCATAATGTCATTATGGAATGTATTACCTTTCTATGTTTAGATATATTTAGATACACAAATACTTACCATTGCATTACAGTTGTCTACTATAGTCAGTGCAGTAACACACTGCACGGGTTTGTAGCCTAGGAGCAATAGGCTATACCACATAGCCTAGGTGTGTAGTAGGCTATACCATCTAGGTTTGTGTAAGTGCACCCTATGATTTTTACACAAAGACAAAGTCACCTAACAACATACTTCTCAGAATGTATCCCTGCCATCAAGTGACACATAACTGTACTTTAACTTCTGAAAACTAAAGTCAAAGAAAAAAGATCTTGAAATCACTAAGAGAGAAGCAACATATTGCCTATAGGGGAACAGCATTTCAAATGACAATGGATTTCTCACATGAAATCATAGATTCCAGAAGGAAGTGGCACAACATTTTTCAAGTGCTGAGAGAGAGGAACTGCCAACCACAAATTCTATATCTAGCAAAATTATCCTTCAGGAATGAAGGGGAAATATAAAAACATTCTCAGACAAAAGAAAACTAAAAGACTTTGTTGCTAGCAGACCTCAGCAGACCTCCACTGCTAAAGATCAAAGGACTGGCCAAAGGAAGTTCTTCAAATAGAAAGAAAATTATAATAAAAAGGAATCATAGAGTATTGGGAAGGAATAAGAAACAAGGAAAAAAGTAGAAATATGAATACATATGATAGATTATCCTTTTCTTAATGAGCTTTATAAATCATGTTTGATTATTGAAACAAATAGAGCATAATCTGATACTAAAGACAATGATATTCAAAAGTGAGGATGGTAAAGGAACCTAAATGGAGCTGAGGTTTCTATATTGTAGTTGAAGACAAGATATTGATATTAGTAGACTGTTAACAGTTACACATATGTTATATTGTTCAGAGTAACCACTACAAAAACTATACAAAGAGATATACTCAAAAACACTCTACATAAATTGGGATGGAATCCTAAATTTGCTCAAGTAACCCTCAGGAAGTCAAAAAATGAAAAACAGAGCAATAAGAAGCAGAAGAAACAAATAGAAACAAAATAACATATCAATAATTATCTGAAGTGTAAATGGTTTAAATACCAAAAATGGCAGACTGGATTTTTTAAAAATGACCCAACTATATGCTGCTTATGAAAGACTTACCTCAAATTCAATGACATAGGTAGGCTAGAAGTAAAAGATTAGAAAAAGATAAGGCATGTAAACATTAATGTTTTAAAAAGCAGAATTAGTTAGATAAATGTCTGATAAATTAGACGTCAGGGTGAAGAAAACTACCAGAGATTAAGATGGAAATTATCTAATGCTAAAGGGACTGATCCATCAAGATGCTACAGCAATCCTAAATGTGAATGCATCAGACAACTATATCTCAAAATATATGAAGTAAAAACTGAAAGAGCTGATAGCAGAAATAGAAAAATCCACAATTATAGCTGAAGACATCAACATACCCCTCTCAGCAACTGATAGAACTACTAGATAGTATATTAGCAAGGATGTAGAAGATCTGAACAACACAATTAATCAATATGATCTAATCAGCATGTACAGAGCATGTTACCAAACAATAGCAGAATACACATTTTTTTCCGGTGCCCATGGAACTTTCACTAAGATAGACCATATCATGAACCATAAAATTAATCTCAAAAAATTTGAAAGAACTGAAACCACAGAGTATGATCCAGCCATAATGTAGTCAAACAAGAAATCAATAATAGAAAAACAACAGGAAAATAACTGCACAGTGGAAATTAAACAACATACTTATAAATGATCTGTCGGTCGAAGAGGAAGCCTAAAGAGAAATTTAAAAAAATACATAGAACCAAATGAAAATGAAAATACAACCTATCAAAATTTGTGGGATGTGGTTAAAAGAGTACTGTTGGGATAGTTTTGGTACGAAATGGTACATTAGAAAAAAGGAATATCTCAAATCAATAATCTAAGTTCCTACCTCAAGAAACTAGAGAGAGAAGAGTAAAGCAAACCCGAAGCATGCAAAAGGAAGAAAATAATAAATATAAGAGTAGAAATCCCCAGGAATCTATGAAAAAACTTTTGGAACTAATAACCCAGTTCAGCAATGTCACAAGATACAAGATTAGTAAAAATGAATTGAATTTCTATATACTAACCATAAAAATGTGGAAACTGCAATAAAAAATATGATGCCATTTATAATTACGCCAAAGAAAATGAAATAGGTGTACACTTAACAAAACATGTACAGAGATATATGCTGAAAATTTAAAAATCTTGATGAAAGAAATTTTAAAAGGTCTAAATAAATGGAGAACCATGCTGTGTTCATAGATTGGAAGACTCACATAATAAATATGTCGATTCTCCCTAAATTAATCTATAGGTTTAAAGCAATTGCTATTCAAAATGCCAGCAAGGTTTTCTGTAGATACAGACAATCCTAGCCTAAAATTTGTATATAGTAAAGCACAGGCCCTAGAATAACCAAAAGAACTCCAACAAATAAAAATAAATTGGGAGGACTCATTCTACCCATTATTAATACATGTATGTAACTATTGTGATCAAGAGAGCATTGCACTGACAGAGGGATAGACCACAGACAATGGAAAAACAAGGAACTCAGAAACAGACACACAGAAATATACCCATCTGGCTTTTGACAAAATGCCAAGATAATTCAATAAAGGAAGGATTGCTTTTCAACATATGGTGCTGGTGCAATGGGACTTCTATAGGCCAAAAAATGAACCATGAACTAACCCTCACACCTTATACAAAATTAGCTCGATGTGGATCATGCACTTAAATGTAAAATACAA